GGGGGGGGGGGGGGGGGGGGGGGGGGGGGGGGGATAGTGAAGAAGGAAGAAGGTGAGGTGAATCCCCCCTCCCCCCAGGAGACCGCCCTGAATCCGCCCATGACTCCAAGGATCGGTGATAACAAAAACAATGCGAAAACAATTACCGCCCAAGGAAAACATGAAACTAGCAGCCAGTCCTTCCATAATATACTGCCCATTGATTCTGTATTGCATTATTGCAACGGGCTTCGAGTTTCCTCTTTCATCCGTTGTTTGCCCTGCAAAATTTAGTTTTTACAAGAAACTGAAAAACTGATTAAAGCTCTTCCCAGTCGACAGCGTAGAATACCTTGTCTACTTCATCCTTGTCTTGCAATGGCAACGTTTGGGACGACGCGATAGCACCCAATAGACATCAAAATCATCTCAAAGCGGCTAAAGCCTTGCCAAATGTAATTTTTAAAGTAATTAAAATCTTTAAAATATTTTTCTGGAACTAAAATATTCGCTATTTGACGCAATTAAAGCTTTCATAATAATTTTTTTTTTACCTTTTTGACTGGAATTTGCATATTTTCCGTTAAATTTTGCATATTTTTGATGAAATTTTGCGCACATCAAGCTAAATTTTCACTTTTTTTTTGTCAATATACGTTTCTCTGGTAAGATTACATGGGCGAAAAGACAGAAACAATCCAAAGAATGCTATTTCTGTACGTAGAAACGTGTGTAAGTACCATCAAAATAAAGCAACACTAACCGATACTTGGAGGTTCATTGATAATATCATAAATAACACCACCGGTAACAAAGAAATATGTGATCATGATCAATGCGAATACCTGCATTGGTGATGGCATCTGAAAAATGTGAACTAAATTGTACTGAACTATTGGAAGAAAACAATAACTATAATCTGAAGATAAGTTGGTTAAGAACAGAAAAGTACCTCTAAATCTTGGGGGAAGTCCCCTCCTTTTTTAGAAAGAGGAGCCGAGGGGGAGGGGGGGAGGGGTCTTGGCTTTTTTTTCAGGAGGGGAATGGAGTGGTTTCAAATCTTTTAATTTTCACTCACTCGGAAATAAGGGATTGCACTATCGAAGACTACAGTAACTATAATCTGAAGATAAGCTGATTAAGAATAGAAAAGTACCTCTGAGTCATGCAGGAAGTCCCCTCTTTTTTTAGAAAGAGGAGCCGGGAGCGGGAGGAA